GCCACGACAAGTCGTGCATCGGCAACATGATGGTTCGAGACCGACATCGAGATCAAGATCGAGTTGCTGCGGTGTCTGCGCCTCGAACCTGCACGCTCCTTCCGTTCGGGATCCCACCCGCTACCCTTGCCTTGTCGCCTCGCTGTGGAGAAGAGTCGGATCTACGTTCGAGGCTCAAGTCAGCACAGCATCGCTCCCATACCCGAAGACTAATGCACCCGTGATTCCGTCCAATCTGCTTGTACGATCCATCCGTGTGGCAGAGATGTCGGCACTGCGAAGGTCTTTTCTGTGTGCTCAGGCTTCATTGTACAGATCTCCGAAGACGAATGCTTCTGTGTGTTAGCACTCGATCACAAGGACATCTTGTGCTTATGGCACTGCTCCCGACCTGGGCAGTGCGTGAAATGGTGATGGAGCTCTACGCAAAGCAGAGCCGAGCAGATCACAGCGACGCATCCCGGTAGTGTAACGAGGCACACAGAGTGAAAAGAGGTCAGGCTCCTGTCTGTCAGATGGTGTAGGACTCTCTCATGGACGTCGTCCAAGGCCTTAGAGTGGCAGTCTCAAGTCCGAGTATCAGCAAAACAGAACACAGCTTTGCCTGCAGGGAAACCAGCGTGGCTGCGCAAGTTGAGCCGTGGCGCGTGATGGACGTGCGAGCTTGGAGTCGAATCAGTGATGGCGTGACGACTGACTGTTGTGCGCAACTCTCCAGGCCATACCGGATTTTTCGTGTGTACAGACATGTGCAGACGTCGTAGAGTGTTGACAAAGTCGTGATGGACATTTCATCTATATGCAAGTGGTTTGGTATCTCTAGGTTGCGGGGGTGAATTGGATGCTGGCGCCTGCGAGCACTCTTAGCGTATCCACCACGGGCGGGATCGCCGCCAAAATGAGCAGGATCGCACCAAACAGCACGAAGCTCAACGATGCAATGGCCATGCATCTTGGCGTAGCGATCAAACTGCTAGCACCAATAGCGCCGGCCGTGCTGCCCATGGCAATACCGATCGTCAAATAGTCCTTGCTTCCGGCGTCTCCGTCGTTTTTCGGGTCGAGACCAAAGAGTCTAAAGAAGGGATCCTTGACGATCGTTATCACAATGCCCGTGACGACGACGAGAATCACCGTCATGCTTTCGTCGGCGCCGATGGTAAGGGATAGCTCGATGGCGAGCGGGGTGGACATGAAGCGGCTCGCGAAGGCTAGGGCGCGTTCGGGGGCGATACCGATAGCCCCTGCCACTGTGGGCCATACAAAGACCGACAGCATCGAACAGGGGACCAGCACCGCCAGCATGTCGACAAGATGCAGCCACAGATCCCGACGGTATCGGTACATCGGAATCGCCAGCGATACAATCCCGGCATCGAGAGTGGAGAAGAGTACATCGCCTGCTCCGATCACGGGACCGGTGTAGCCGGATGTCGACCAGAGCACCGTGTACTTGGCATCCACCGAGTAGGTTGAGAGAGTGCGGCGGAGCGTCCAGCCTCGTGCGGCACCCAGGCCCCAGAGGATGAGGACGGTGAGGATCGAGGTGGTGAGGATGGGGTGTGCAAAGCGACGGATGCGTGGAGGGACAATCGTGATGCTGAACAGGAACGTCAGGATGTTGATGCCCAGGAAGAGCGGCAGCGAGATGTTGACCAGGTAGAAGACGGGTAGCCCCGCAACGACGATAGCCAGAGTCACCAACCAGGGGATGCTGTCCCAAAGTCGCTCGACGAGTCGGTCGACTGCATCCATCTTCTCCTCTTCCTCCTCCTCCTCCTCCGATTGAGGTTGCTCTGGCAGCTGATGCTTGGATTTAGACTCGTGGTGGGTGGGTGGGTGATCGTTGCTGACGGTGATTTCGCTGTCTGCGCGACTGGGCCTGCGCGTAGCGCTCGGGCTGCAGTCTGCGCTCATCCTCGCCGGCGTGGGAGGTGCGAGGGTAGGCACGACCGTGTCTGCCTCGTGCTCGAGCGGCTCGAGCTGTCGCTGTTGAATCCTGGACTGTCTTGCGCTAAAGATCCACTCGTCAAACGTGGGCGACGCCGCCTCGTTGCCGGCGCTCTGCGGTCTCCCGCTCCTGCCTCTTGTATGTGGGGACTGCGACACTCCTCGGTCGAAGCGTCTTGCGAGCGACCTACTTCGTGCGAAGCCAGGATGCTCGTGGCCCAAGCGCGGCGAGGGATAGTGATGCTCGCGCACGGGGGAGTGCGACATGGCATACGGATCTCCCTGCTGCCTCGCCGTCTCGAGCTGCACATGTGTCAACTGTCGCTCTGCATCCCCAACCCCCGCGGCGACTGCTGCCACTGGGGCGGTGACGACGGCAGTAACCCCCGTCAAGCCCTTGGCCAAACTTGGCTTTTCTCCCACCGACAGCGTGTGCGATAGGACGCCCAAGAGCGTAGCCTCACTCTCCCTCCTCTGCTCTACGTTTTTGGTAGAGCGGTGTTTGAGGCTCGCTATTGCCCACCGGCCGAGTTTGTGGAGGATGACGGGGAAGGCGAGGGCGGCGAATTGGGAGGCGGCGAACCAGCCTGTGATGAGGCCGATTTCGCGCGCGGCGATGATCTCGCGTGCGGGGATGAGGATAAAGCTGGGCGTGAACATGACCGACATGTATCGAAGGCAAAAGTCACACGGCGCCTCGAGCAGCGCCAGCATCGGAGCGAGCAGCACTTTTCTGCCGTTCTTGCGCGCGAGGAAGCGGATGGAGAGGTAGTCGGCGAGGAGCAGCAGCGCAAAGAGCAAAAGCATGGCGATGACGGGGCTGGGGAAACGGAAGGGAGCTCGGTCCATGCCGAGCTTGATCGCCCATACCAGCACGAGCAGCGCAGTGATACCGATGGGGACATGGAGCCAGTTGGTGAGCAGATCGCGCTGGCGTTGTGGGTCGGTGAAGAGGAGACGGATGGCCAGCAGGATGTGAGAGGGCGATCGGATGCGCTCGACGTATGGTCGAGGTGTGCATGATTGGCACTCGGCATCCGTGGGTGGTGAAGAGAGAGGAGCAGAGTGGACCGAGGGCTTGGTGGGGGATGGTGGAGCAGGGGAAGCCATGGTCGAAGTCATGAGGGCAGGCGGGAAAAGTTGGACAGACGGCAATCCATGAGCCTGCGGGTCGGGCTTCGAAAAGGGCTACATGCACACCCGCTTCAACGCTCCTGGATATATGTACTCCCCACGCCTTGCTCATAGCATGCAGCGATCTCTAAGCAGGAGCTTTGTTCCCGCAGCTATGCGCTCGTGTGGCGGTGTACGGAAAGCTCCGAGCGCGCGCTGGTGCACGATCATTTGGCATGGGGGGTGATGCGGAGGTGTGTGCAGTGTGGGGGTGATGCAATGCGGTGTATGGAGTGGAATGCGCATAAGCCGACGGTCTGCCATGCTGGCATGACATTGGACTGGCGATCCGAGCGTCGCATGCACGTCTAGTGGATGCTTGGCAGCCCCCACCGTGGCGCAGGCGAGCTGCGGATGGTGGGCAGGGAGGGTAAGGCGGGATGCCAAGAAGTGTCAGTGTGAGTGGGGGGGGCCTAGCGCGTGCATCTCCAACACCGCAACGGAGCCACGCCGGAGCGACGGAGCAACGGAGCGGAGAATATTTTGGCTCTATCTGACGTGCGCATCGACAGGCTGCCAAGAGATAAGCCGATAAGACGCAGCGCAGCCTACGGAATGCCAAGACCCCGCGTGCGTCCCCGCCCACAGCACCGCCCTGCCCCTTCCGCCGGTCAATTCTTTCACAAACTCCCCCTCTTCCGTCCAGACCATCATATCAACCACGCTTCGTAGCAGTAGAACTCGATGAGAGTCAAGTGGTGAGCGTGTCAAAAGCCTTGCGGTGGAGAGGTGGAGTGGAGCGGTTCGGATCGGGTGGGATTGGCGGGTTGCGGAGAATTCTTTGGCGGAGAGATGCGCGCTTTCTTTTTTTAAACCCGCCTGGTGGCAAGCGGCTTATGGGGGCGCGCCAAGCGAAGACGCCCAGACCTTTCGTGCTTCTTGGACTGGAATGTGGGCCTGCGACCCCCACCCACGTGTCCCCCGGCTGCGCACCTCCGTCTCGTCTCATGCCTCTTGGCCTCTCTGACCTAATAGCCACCTCGCGCCCACTCTGACTCGAGCAGTGTCCAAGTTAACACGCCATTTTGGCGATGGTGTTCTGCATGATGCTATCGCTTGTGCGGCCGAGGCGCCCTTCCGAGCGCCTGCAGTCGCTTGGCCCTTCCAAATCGGATGCCCTGCAGCACGAAATCGATCGCGTCTTCCGCGCGCTTCTTGCGCCGCTCCACCTCGGCACGGTAGCAGAAGGCGAGTGGGAATCGGAAACTCAGCCAGAGGTAGAGGGTGAAGCATCGGTGGAGCGATTCCATCACCAGCAGCGTAGCGATGTTGATGAGCGGATGCGCTCCGCTACCCCCACCTCCCACCCCACCGCTGCTGTTGTGGCCCAGGTAGGCTACGAGGGGGAGCGGATCTTGGGGTGGGGTGGTGGAATTGGCCGACTCGGTGGCGCGACGCCGCGCTTCGCTGGCTTGGTGCATGAGCTCGACCAGCTGCTCTTCCACCTCGAGCATGCCCAGTGCGTCGGCGGCGGCATCGAAGCGAACCAGGCCGCCGCGCGAGAACTGGGCGACAGCCGAGGTGAGAAAGGCCACCACGCGTTCGTCGCGCATATTGGCCGGTGCATTCGAAAACGTCTCGCGCTCCGCCACGGTCAGCATGCCCGCCGAGGCAGACTCGACCAGCGGCGAGATGGCGAGCTGCTGCGAAAAGTCGGCTACAAAGTAGTGCGCCGCCTCGATGCGCGCCAGCAGCGCCACGTCGGCATACAGCTGCGAGAGCGCACGCAGCCCGCCGCCCGGCTTGGCACTGGGCAGCATCGCCGAGAGCTGAGACAGCGCCTCGCGCGGAGGCTGGATCGCAGCACGCGTGATCGGACGCAGCGGAGATGCGAGCGCGGCCCGCAGCACCTCGAGCTCGTGCTCGTGGCGCGTGGTCACAATGCCGCCCAGATCCGCAGGCTTGGTCGAGGCGGATTGCGTCCCGTATCGTCCCGCACGCCCGGCAATCTGCTTGATCTGACTCGCGGAGAGCGTCACCTCCTCCGAACCGTTCCACTTGGTGAGCGTGTCGAAGACGACGCGCTTGATGCGCAGGTTGAGACCCATGCCGATGGCGTCGCTCGCCACCATGACGTCCAGCTTGCCCTCGTTGAACAGCTTCGCCTGTTCCGCCTTGGTCTCGGGCGGCAGCGCACCGTACGCCACCGCACAACGCAGCCCGGTCTTTTGCTCGATCTCGCGCTTGAGCGCAAAGATGCCCGAGCGCGAAAACGCAACGATGCAGTCGCCGCGCTCGATCCTGGCCAGGTCGTTGTGGAGCGACTCGTCGGCGACGCTCAGCGGCGTCAGACGCTCGTACCGGTGGATGGTCAGGTGGTCGCCACAGGCCTCGGCGAGCTTTTCGATGAGCGGGATCACGCTCGCCTCGCCGCATAGATGCAGCTCCTTGGCGGGCAGTCCGAGCACGGCGGCGGTCCAGGCAAAGCCGCGCTGCGCGTCGCCGATCATCTGGATCTCGTCGATGACGCCGACATCGACGGTGCGCGAGTTGGAGACCATCTCGACCGTGCAGCTCACCAGGCCGGCGAGCGCGTCGACGGTGCGCTGCTCTTCGCCCGTGACGAGGTTGCATGCTCGCGGCGCGACGCCGGGCGAGACGGTGCCCGTGTTGAAGCGGTCCCACACCTCGTGGGCAAGCAGCCGCAGCGGACCGGCGAAGACGCCGGTGCGTGCCTTGCTCAGCGCGACGAGCGCGCCGTGCGTCTTGCCCGAGTTGGTCGGGCCGACGTGCAGGTGGATGCTGCGCATCAGCGTGCGTGCGTGCGGATACTGGTGCGCCGGAAAGCGCAGATCCATGCACGAACGCAGCAGCATCAGCTGTGACCGGGCGAGCGAGACCTCGCCTGCATTGCCAGAGGTCTCCACGCGCGCGTACCCGCTGTCCATCCAGTCCAGAAACGCAGACAGGCAGAAGCGGCCCAGACACGCCTCGCCCTCCACCGTGAAGGACGAGATGGCGTCGGGCAGATAGCCAAACACCCCCGGCCGATGCACCTCCCCGCCGTCATGCAGCAGCGCGATGTCCATGATCTCGTCCTGCGCCTCCTCCGACCACGTCCTGAACAGCTTTATTGCCAGCTCCTGGTCCGCCTGGGGTGACTTGGACGGAGTGTAGAGCTGCAGCACTTGACGCGCTGCATCGCCCTTGATCCCGTACACCACGAGCTGCGCCGGAAAGTGCGGATTGCCGGCAAGCGAGTCGATCTTGTCTACGAGCTGCCGCGCAACGTGCTGTGCGGTGGGTGGTTCAGGTATCGAAAAGTCGGCCTCGATGCGTTTCTTGCCCCTGTTGTCGCCGAATCGCGGCTTGCCAAACCGGTCGCGCTTGTCGTTGCCTCTGCTGCCGCCGAAGCGAGACGCTCCGCCCGACTTGGAGCCGCCGCGTGGCGGGACTCCTCTCGCGACGAGGGCAGACGACTGGAAGCCTCGAGAAGGTGCGGCGATGTGCGCTGGTGGCGGCCCGCAGCAGATCGCGCACGCTTGCCGTGCGAGCGCAGGGGAGGAAGCAGCCGCGCGGGATGTCGACGCGGACCAGCCTGCGAGAGACGATGTCCCTGCTGCTGTTGCTGCTGCTGCTGCGGCGACCGATGCTATTGATCGACTGAGCATCCTTGGTAGGGCGAGGGTATCGTGGTGGCTGAGCAGGAAGAAAGTGTGCTTCTCATCCTTTTTTTCGTCCGAAGCCGATCCGGAAATGCGCGAAAAAGTGGAGAAACGTCGAAATTTGGCGCGCGACTTTCTTCGCATTTTTAGGCTTACATAATCAACCCTCCACCTGGACCCTTCTTTGGTGCTTTTGGGCGGCTTTTTTTGGCCGGCCAAGTTCTTCTCGACCATCATCACAATCAACCACCAGCATCGACGGCATACGCGCGAGGACAACGGCACAATGAAGGTGGTCGGCCTGCTGAGTGGCGGCAAGGATTCGTGCTACAACCTCGTGCACTGTGTACAGCAGGGTCACGAGCTGGTGGCGCTAGCAACGCTCGCACCGCCAGGGTCCAAGGATGAGCTCGACTCGTACATGTACCAGACGGTCGGACACGACGCAGTGCACCTCGTCGCTGCTGCCATGGGTCTGCCGCTCTATCGTCGCGAAATCAAGGGCACTGCAGTCAACCAGCGCTCAGAATACGGCTCGCGCGCGCCCTCCTCCTCCTCGTCCGGCACCCACGGCGAGGCTCTGGACGACGAGACGGAGGACCTTTACCACCTGCTGCGCGACGTCAAGGCAGCCCATCCCGACGTGGAGGCCGTGTCGGTCGGGGCGATCCTGTCGAACTATCAGCGCGTGCGCGTCGAGCACGTGGCGCTGCGGCCTGATATCGGCCTCACGCCGCTGACGTTTCTGTGGCAGCGCGACCAGGCGCAGCTGTACGCCGAGATGCTCGATGCCGGGCTCGTCGCCGTGCTCATCAAGGTCGCCGGCATCGGGCTGGACGAGCGCGACTTGGGCAAGACGCTTGGTCAGATGCAACCCAAGCTCACGAGGCTGGCGGCCATGTATGGCGCGCACGTTTGTGGCGAGGGCGGCGAGTACGAGACGCTCGCCATCGACTCGCCGCTGTTCAAGCAGCGCATCGATCTGCGTGACGTCGAAACCGTCGTGCACTCGGACAGCGGATTCGGAAGCGTCAGCTATCTGCGCCTCAAGAACGCCGTGCTCGTGCCCAAGGATGCCGACCAGTCCAAGGTCGAGGCAACCACACCGCCTCTGCTCGATGCGCTGGGTGAACGCACACTCGCTGCAGCACGTGCGGCGTACAAAGACGCAGCGTCGACAGAATCCGGGATCCAGGAGCTTACTGCCAAGACTGCTGAGCTGCAAGTCGATCCTTCGGCATGGGCGTTACCGGCGCCATCGGTGCGGAGGAATGGCAGGTACGTGGTGCTGTCCAACATTACTGGCGTTGGTGCAGCAGAGGTTGAGGACCAAGTGCGTGCCGCGTTCGATACGGTGCGCAAGCTGCTGTTGACCGAGCGGTTGGGGGTGGAGCACATTGCGCACGTCAATCTGTACGTGCGGTCGCAGACGCTGTTCTCGCGCATCAATGCGGTGTACCGCGAGCAGTTTGGCGTCTCGCCTCCCACGCGCGCATGCGTAGCTCTTCCCCTCCCACCAGGCTGCGAGCTGGTGCTGAGCATCGTTGCATTCGACACCGCCTCGGTGGCTGGGACGCCATTCGATCGGCGCGCGCTGCATGTGCAGGGGCGCTCGTTCTGGGCACCTGCGAACATCGGCCCGTATTCGCAGAGCCTGCTGGTGGCGGAAAAGACCTGGGTGGCAGGACAGATCGGACTGGTGCCGGCGGATTTGTCGCTGCCAGAGGATGAACCGACCCAGGCGGCGTTGAGTGTCCAGCATGCACGCAGGATCGTCACGGCCACAGTGAATGATTTGGGCGGAAGGAAGGTGCAGCGAGGATGGGTCGAGGGTGGTGTTTGCTGGATCGAGCACGGGGAGGATGTGCATGCTAGGCTGGAGATGGCTAGACACGCCTGGCTTGCTCAAAGTGGTGAAGATGATGAGGAGGAGGAGGAAGAGGAGGGGTGGATGGGAAAGACCGAGGGCAAGCAAGTGGGATTGTTGATGGTCACCCTTCCTCGTGGGGCGTTGCCTCGAGGAGCAGTGATCGAGTGGCAACTCACTGCACACACGGGACGAGTTCCACCACCGATATCAGCGGTGGAGGTGGACGAGGATGAGGTGGGATCGGACTGCGATGTGCATGTTGTACGTACGCGTGCGGTGCTAGCTGGCATGGAGGCTCTTCATACCGTAACCACGTCCAGCGCGGGACAGAGCTCGTTTGGACTGCTCACCCTTCGCATCACCTCTGAAGACCCAGTTGACGATGCTGCGTTTGCACAGTCGATCGACGCACTCACGAGCGCCTACGCAGTCCACCTCTTCCTACCCCTCCACCAACGCACTTCCCAAGCCCTCGCTGCTCTCCGTTCCATCCTACCCACCACCGTGCTCGACACCGCACACCATGTTCCCTGCACATCCCTGCACACACCCCACCCGACACTGCAACACGTCGACCTCGCACTCGCATGGCATGGCATCTAGAAATTCCACTACGCCTTACTCGGTACCGGGCTGGAGCGTGTCGACGAGTTCCTTGAACTGGCTGACGATCTCGCGTTCCTTCTTGGCCTTTTCCTCGGCCTGGAGCCTGAGCATGGATCGCTTTTCTTCGGCACTGATCACCTGGTTCTCCTTGCGCATGCGCACGGCGTTCATGCGGTGGTGTCGACTGCCGCTCATGACGTAGCCGGCCTTCTCGTACGCCTCGATCTGGTCCGACGACAGCCCGATCTCGCCGCGCCGCGGGATTCGCTTGCCGTCCTGGACAAACGACGCCATCGCAGACCCCTCGCCGGGTAGCAAGGCGCCTCCGTACGCGCGCGGATCAATCGGCTTCCCGTCCGCACCTGTCGAAGGCAGCTTAGGTCCAACCTCGTCCGAGCTCGCCGAGCTCACTGAGCTCACTGAGCCGCGTCGGTCACCAGCGTCCGGGCGCGGAGCAGAGTCCGAGTGGCCAGCAGCCGAGGCTGAGCGCGAGCGGCGGTGTGAGCGGTGACGGTGAGAGTCGCGCCGTTTGGACGAGTGACGACGGTGCGTGCGCGATGCGTCGGACTCGGAGCCGGACTCGGACGCACTCGACGCCCTGGAGCTGCGCTTGGATCGTGCGTGCCGATCGTCGTCGCGGTCGTCACGGCGCGACCGGGACGAGCGCGAGGAGCGGTGTCGATCGCGCTCCGAGTGGTGTCGATGGCTACGCGACGACGAGTGCCTGTCGCTGCGCTTCCCGTCGCTCCGATGCCTGTCCCTATCCGAGTCGCGATGTCGCCTCGAGGAGCTCTCGTGCTTGCGCTTGCGCTTGCGCTCCTCGCGCTCCTCGTCGCTATCGAGCGTAGGATGCGGTGGGCTGGGCGGCCAGATGGAGACATTCGAGTTCTTGCGCTGCTCGTTGCGCGAGGCGAAGAAGCTGCCGTCACCACCGCCGTTGCTGTGGCTGCCCGCCGAGGCATACGGATCGCGCGGAAGACGCTTCCACTGCGCTGCACCATACTCGGACGAGCCATTGCGATCGCCACCCTGCCTGTCGTCACTGCCAGCGTCAAAGTATCGACCGCCACGCGAGCCGCCCCAGCCGCCGCCGTTGCGGGAGTCGGAGCGGTCGCCGTCTTCGCGCCCTCGCGCACTTCCCCCGTCCGGACGCGGCGGCGGCACCCATCGGTCGTGATGGGGTCGAGGGGCCCGTCGTTCCGGATGCGTGAACGGCCGCGGTGGCGGAGGCGGCATGCTGGACGACGAAGGTTCAGCGTCGTAGGAGGGTGATGCACGTCTCTGGCGTACGGGGCTGCGGCTGGATCTGTCTCTCCGGTCGTGCTGAAGTGGAGAGGAAGAGCGGGAGCGGGAGCGTGCACGTGAACTGCGCTGAAGTGGCTCCTCATGGTCGTCGTTGGCTGCGCGAGGCGCTCGTTTGGATGCAAGCAGACGTGCGCGCAGCTGCTGCTCTCTGTCGAGGCTGTCGTGCGTGTCTGCCGCCGGTGCAGCTGCAGGAGAAGATTCGGCACTGCCTGCGCCGAGGCGCTCTGCCAGCGATGGCATGGTGTCGCGCGGCGTGTGTGATGATGACGACGGTGATGATGGTAGCGAGTGATGAGGCAGCGAAAGTGGGTTGTCAGGGTTCAGTTCGAAGCCGACTCAGCCGAGTCTTGGAAAAATGCTTAGAGTGTTAGACCGAAAGCAGACTACGAACGACTCGTGCGAGTAGAAGAAAAGGCGGCGGTGAGCTGGAGCTCCGAGGCGCGGCGCCACGCACAGACGCCCGCCCTCTCAATTGCTCGCTCGTGCTGCGACCGACGCTTTCCATTCCGCGACCATCTCTTAATCCCGGATTCGACCCTTGTCGCACCCTCAAGATGGCCCTCGTCAAGCATGCAGCAAGGAGAGCGAGTGCGTTCTGCTCGCTCGTCGTGCTCGCAGCGCTCGCGCTCTTCTGCGCACTCACCTCGGCGCTTCCCTCGGCCTCGGGCAACCGCGTGCTCGTCGTGGTCGAGCCCAGCTCCAGGCGTTTGTACTCGACATTCTTCCAAGGCCTCACGTCGCGCGGATATCAAGTAGCCTTCAAGGCGCCGCGCGATGCCAAGCCGCAGCTCGTAGAGCACGATGTGGTGTCGTTTGATCACCTCGTGCTCCTCTCGCCGGCAGCCAAGTCGCTCGCGGCCGACCTGTCGCCACAGCAGCTGGTCGAGTACCTCAAGAGCGGCGGAAACATGCTCGTCGCTCTCGACTCGAGCGCCAGCGAGATGCATCGTGACCTTGCGCGCGAGTTCTCGCTCGAGTTCGACGAGCGCGCAACTGCGCTCGTCGACCACTTCCGCGCGAGTCCGCAGCTGGATGCGGGCAACCACACCACCGTGCTCGTCGGAGGCAAGTCGTCCGCGGCTGGTTTGTCTACGGGCGGACCTGTGCCCAACACGAATGTATTTGCCGAGGAGACGCTGCTGGCTGCCCAGACCAAGCCGCTGCTGTACCGCGGCATCGTGCACCGCGTGGGCGCCAACCCGCTCGCATTCCCTCTGGTCGTGCCGCCCGCAACGAGCTACTCGTCCGAAGCATCTGCGCTCGTCAAGGAACAGGACGCAGTGGTGGAGTCGACGTCCTACTCCACGCCTGCACCCGTCACGGTGACTACGACGCGCATCATCGACGGCGAGACCGTCAGCTCCGAGGTGGTCTCCACGCCGCGTGCGGTGCCGACGGTGGTCAAGTCCAAGTCCGCCTCGAAGCTCGGCAAGAACGGCTGGGTGGCCAACCGCGCAGGTGTCGAGCCGCTCGAGACCAAGCGCGAGCTGGTGGCCGGTGTCTCCACGGGCGCTGCGTCGATCGTTTCGCTCGTGTCTGGCTTCCAGCTGGCGTCCAACAGCGCTCGCGCCGTGTTTGTGGGGTCGACCGATCTTCTTTCGGACGCATTTGCAGGAAGCGAGACGGTGAACCGCGAGGTGGCGCATGATCTGACAGCGTGGACGTTCCAGGAGCGCGGAGTGCTCAAGGTGGTTGGTACGCACCACCACCGCGTGCGCTCGGACGCCAGCGACGTTCGCGAGGACTACGAAGAGACTGCAGCGGGTAACTCGATGTACCGCATCAAGGACCACGTCTACTACAGCCTCGACGTGGTGCAGCACGTCCCTGACCGCGGTTGGGTTCCTGCCGACAAGACGCTCGACATCCAGGTGGCATTCCGTATGCTGGATCCGTACATCACTGCGCATCTGGTCGCCGAGGATGCGGCCAACTACACGCACGCCGTCGAGGGCGATACGAGCGGTGCGTTTACGAGGTTCGCCACGACGTTCCAGGTTCCCGACCGTCACGGCGTGTTTACGCTGCACGTCAACTTCAAGCGTGCCGGACTGTCGTTTGTCGAGACCAAGGATACGGCGCCTGTGCGGCCGTTTAACCACGACGAGTATCCGCGCTTCCTCAGCTCGAGCTGGCCCTATATCACGGGCGCGCTCAGCACCTCGCTCGGCTTTGTCGTCTTCACCGCCCTGTGGTTGACGCTTCGCCAAGACCCGCCGGTGCACAAGAAGACCAAGTGAGGCGCCAAATGCAATTTCTACAGTGTGCAGGACGAGTAGAGCAGCTCGGGATCGGCATGATTAAAGTACGCTATTGGCGGTGAGTGTGGGTGTGTGAGGAGCGGCGAGGCGAAATTGAAGCACCAGAATTTGCGGTCCGTGACGCCGAGGAGGTGGGAGGGTGTAGCAGCCAGGGCGTATTGGGGGCTGTCGGTGCTGGGTAGGGCGAAAGCTGTCCATCCCGTATTGGGCTTGGTGGCGCCGGGGGAGGGGAGGAGGGGCACGGTGTAGTGCTCGAGGAACTCGATGTCGAATACGCGCACTTGGGCGTGACGTGCTCCACCTGCTATGAGGAGGTGCGCACGCGGGCCGCCGAAAGCCAGACTGTATACGGCATCGGTGGGACGGTCCTCCTTTAGCACGGCGATTGCATCCATCTCTCGTCTCCTCCGGCCGGGCTCGTTGAGGCTGCGTGTGTCGTAGACGCGCACAGTGCCGTCGTAGAATCCGGCAAAGAGGAGCCAGGGTGGGATGTGCGAATGCCCAGGCGCGGTTGCAAGCGCAAACACAGACGAGCGCAGCCGCGTACCGACGTACATCGGTTCACCCAGCTCCAGCCCTGCGCTGCGCAAGAGTGGGTAGACGTACACCGCCTGCTCGCCCGTCATGCCCACTGCCACCCACCGCTCGCGCAGCAGTACCGACCACGCGCGCGTGCCCCCGCCACCTTCAGCGCGTGCATTGTTCAACGCAGCGCTGCGAAAGCTGCGCGGTGTAGAGGACCGCGACGACTGCGAGTCGGGAGTGTCGGTGGTCGGCGAAGCTGTGCCGTCTTCATCGATCTGCCACGCCATCGACTCCGCACCGAGGTGGATGCGCAGCTGCCCGCGTTTCGATACGGATGCCATCCACACCTCCTCTCCGTCTTCGGGCGAGAAGACGGACACGCCTGCGACCTCGAACCGACTCATGGACTCAAACGTCCTCTGCACCTCGACTGAGCTCGACGAGTGCACAGCAAGCATTTGGACGCTGCCGTCCGCGTATCCTACGACCAGCCTGGATGCGGCAGCGTCGACGGGTCGAATCGCCGTGATGTCGTGCCATGGATCCGTGGTTTCCGCCACCCTCCCCTGCGCCGGTGTGAGCATTGTTCCGGGCTGAACCTGACTATCCAACACAAACCTCGCTTCGAGCGCCGGAGGCGAGGTGGGGCTGGGTGCCGGGGCGACGAAGAGGTCGCGGCGGACGCCGACGGCTGTCCAAGTGTCGCCGATCGCCAGCGTGGGGATCGCAAAGTCGCCACGTTGCCATCGCGGTCTACCGGCGGGTGGGATCTTGGCTCCCAGTGCTGCGGGCAGGTCGATCGACTGCGCCTCGAGCACGAGCTCGTTCCAGCTGGTGCGGAGCTGTGCGGCGTGGCGGCAGGCGAACCATTCGAGCGAGCGTGCGGCCAGTCGGGATGAGCGCGTTCGCTTCGCATGCTCGACGTACTCGCGGTGAAACGGCGCCAGGGCAGACAGCGAGATGGTTGAATGTAGAGAGAGGAGCAGCAGACGCCATGCGTGCTGGTCGACCAGATGCAGCAGACGCCGGCAGACCTGCGAGAGGGCAGCGTAGGAGGCGGCGGGAAGATGACGCAGGATGAGCAGCCATACGTCGAGCGGGACGTGGAGCAGTGCCGAAGCGGCACAGGCAACGACGCCCCCGCGAGCAGCGTTCAACGCGGACGGCTGCCGCCCCATGCTCTCTCGATGCGATGCCGTTCTGCCAACGATGTAGTCGTGTGGAAGGGAGTCTGATTGATGCCGAGAAGGAAAAGTGAAACTCAGCCTCCACATATATTGGTGCGGGGGCGGCTGTCATATGCAGGTGGTGTGCATCTCGACTCTCCACCATCATCCTCGGAGCCATGTCGATTCGCTTCCACAAGGGTCCTTCGATCATCACACTGTTGTGCGTATCCCCATGCCTACTTGTGCACTCTTCGCATACTGACACCTTGCCTGCAGTCATGACGCCTCTTCGCCTGCTTCGAAACAGGTGCTGCAGCTGCTGACCAACACCACTCGGCGCACTGCCCAGGCAGCACCATCCAGCGGGTCGCACGGCGAGTCGTGCGTGGTGGAAGCCAACGGCGGCGGTGTGGGTGCGTCCGAGTATCTGAGGCAGGCAGCTGAGCCGCCGAGTGAATCCGCCTTCCAGCTCGAGGTGGTGGATCGAAAGGCCAACCCTCCCACGGCGCACCAGCTCAGGAGCATCATCGACTACCTAGCCTCCAGCGCCGAGAGCCAACAGTCTGAAGGAAAGATCGAGGCAAAGCGAGCAAAGCCGCGTTATACGCCCAGTGGCTTCGACTTGAAAGCTCACGAGCAGCGACGCACCGCGTTGGCACAACACCTCGTCGACTCGGACGCCGGCATGCCCCGCATCAAAGACGGCCCCATCGTCGTCAACTGGGACGAGGGCTCGGCGGCTACGTCGCTCGACGGCGTGCAGCACATGCTGGCGCGGCTCCAGCAGCAAAGGCAGGAACGAGAGCCGCCTTCGTCGTGCGTGGTTGCCTGATCGCCCAATGCTCCTGCCGTGGTTGAGCACCCACGCGCACCAGACATCTGCCTCACCTTGCCTCACCTTGGTTCCCATCCGCTGTCTCGCACCACCACACCATGCTCGCACTGCCCAACACCAACGCGCCAGAGTCAAAGTCGCTCCTTGAGCCGCAATCAATACCCCCTATGCACACGTTCGGCAACCTTGACACCTGGAACTCCGCTTGTACGAACCGTATCTGTAGTGTCTTGCTCTCTTGGTGCCTTTGTTGGCGCTGTCAAGTGAGCAGCAGCAGCGATTTGACAGGCTACAGCGCCGTCGATCTTGGCTGCTGCTGCGGTCGGCAGTCTGGCACTGATCTCGTTGACCGTACACCTGTATAACGCCAGCGAGTGGCCACAGCGTGGAATCCGGCAAAGTGCGATCAAGTGCATTCGAATGTACAAGGCGGTTTCGACGAGTGGATCGCACGTCGCGTAGGGGCTCAGCACGACCGAACAGGCAAACGGGATTGCCAACGTGAAAGCCATTCAGCAACGTCTTGGATCATAACCTTTCAGCTGCCACGTCCCATAGAGACGTTTGGCGCCGGCTCTCGTGGCATCCCGCTTCCACCCTACCCTCAAGTCGTACGTGCCTCTCGGGCGCGATTGTTGTCCGTCTTGGTGCATGCTTCAGACAAAGAGTCGGGGTTGGTGTTTGTTCGATCAGCTAGCTCATGTTGAGCAATGTATGTATCAGAACACAAAGCTGACGTGCCACCTGATGGGTATTGGCGCCCCGTTGGTTGATATCACTTTTGGTCGCTTGTTCTCGCCCGAGGTATGGAGCACGCTCGCACGTCCATCTTGGCCCACACCGCACCAGCTCGCACATCACAACGTAAGCATGCAGGCAGTGCAAGGCGCGTCGACATGCGTACCTTGCGCACCTTGCTTGCTAAGTTAGCTCCGACTGTGCGGCCAATCCTTCGCCAACCCTTCCAGGTGTCAGCTCGGCCCACTTGACCATGAGCCCCAAAGTCAGTGCTCACAACCATTAGATTCCAGGTTTATGAATTGATCGCCACCCGTCACCCCCCCGAAGCCGAACCTGAACACAGTTGTCCGCGTACAACGAGCCTACATCGTCTCGGCCATCATCCCAGTCCACCGATGGATACAGTTGAAGGTTCACCGACACAGTGCAAGTGCGAGTGCCAAGACTGAGCTTGTCATGTTGTACGCTGCTCGCACGCCCCACGCGTCCGTCTGACGCTCGTCGCACGTCGATCTCGACCACACCACCATCCCCGCCTCAGAACGCACCAAGTTCGTGGTCGCACCGCATCGGTTTCGCCTTCTTGGAAGCAGCACGTGCACGATTCACTGGCCATCAAGCAAGGGTTTCCTCGTCTCAGGGCCGGATTCATTGCTGTCACACGCTGTGGTGATTGATCAGACTACCCAACTTTGTACGGTGGTGTTGGTGACCATCAGGCAACAAGAATTTCCAGCCATAGATGGACTTTGCCTGTCGATGGTCTCCATGGTCTCGGGGAAAAGGGTCTCTTCGACTCGAAGCGAATCACGATGGTCGACGGGAAGAAGAACTAGCAAGAGTCTCATTCAACGATCAGGCTGGTAGGGTCCAAGTACGAGCTAGGTCTGGTGCAAGTGCGATGCACGATTACGAGCTGCCAAAGTGCAAGGTGCTAGCCCTCTTTTGAGTGCGTATGCCTCGTTGCACCAACTCTCTTGCGTATCCTGATTAGCGCGGTTCGAATTGCACCTCAACCTCGTCTGTGCATCAACTCAACCTCGTGTCAGCATCTAGCCCGCTCCCTTCGATGTCGTCTGTAGGGCCAGCATGATCATCATCCACAGCTCCAAGGACAGCAACATTCTTGGCCCCAAGTGCCATTAGAAAGTGGCCAGCGCCAAAGTGGTGCTAACCCTACCCTTTTTGGCTGCCTCAATGCCGAGCTGAATCAGCCGCGACGAATGTAACCAAGTGCGCCGACGTGCGATTCAAGTCTCCGATACCAAGGGATGCATAAGACTCAGTGCAACGGCGCATACGTACTCAACAGAAGCTAATGCCAAGGACGAGACGCTCATCGCACGCCACCGACGCCAATATCGCAACACACACACACACACCATCCCGCTCAATTCCCTTCCGTCACGCGCAAAGTTCAATCTCACCACTGGATCCACGCCCTCGAATGCGTGCATGTCTACCTGTATATAGAGATTGAAGTGCCGAATGCGAGAAGAAAACCGGGGGTATGACAAAAGAGTGCCGAATGCGATGAGAGAAAAAAAAAAGTAACGGCCCGCGTTCTTTCCAGCAACAGTGCTCGATGCAACAACCACGTCAGCAGCGAGACGCTGTATCAAGCCGCGACGCTGCTGCCGAGGTGGGCGCGGTCAAGAAGCGCCTGGTAGATAAACTTGTACGCCCACAGGTTGCCCTTCATGCGGCGGATGTCGAGGCTGTACAGGCCCGGCAGGTTCTTGATGCGCGTCACCTCGACCGCGAATCGCACCTCCTGCCCGCCGTCCACGGCAGCATCGCCGTACAGCGGCGGCGGCTGGTTCTCGTCGCCCACGACCAGCTGCGACGCCACCGTCGGCGAAGAGGGCAGCGTCGACATGCCGCCCAGCTTAGGGCTCGTCGCGCCCGCCTGGTACGAGCCGCGACGCAGGAAGCTGCGCAACGAACCACCCCCGGGCGTGCTGGCGCTGGGCGTGAGCGAGTCGCGGTGACTCATGCGCGACGAGCGCTCGACGTCCGCCTGCGTAGGAGGGAAGACCGAGCTGCGGATGCTCATGCCGATACCGTGCGTCGCACTGATGAGCGTCTTGGCGCGCTTGCGACGCACACACTCGAGCTTGAAGTCCTCGTCCTTCTCGCGGCGCACCTCGATGCCCATCTCGTACAGCACGCGCTGCACCTCCCTCAGCACCTCGATCGGCGAGCGCGACGTGAGCGCAGACTGGTCCACCGCGCCCAGGTGGTAGCGCAGCTGCGTCTCGTTGAACGGCACAGCAGCCGCCGCCTGTGAGCCACTCGCGCGCGTGCCAGCGTGCTGGGGCCGCTGCTGCTTGGACTGCGGGCGCTCGCGCTCGACGCCAGACACGTTCGACACGTTCGAGACAGCCGAGAGCGACGCCTTGGGCGTCGCCTGCTGCTGCACCGTCGAGGCGCTCGACTTGATGCCGTCGCTCTCGCCGTGCGAGGCGTCGGTGAGGTTGGTGGCCTGGGTCAGCTCGGTCGCCTCGCTGTTCTCGCTGTGCGTGCCCGAAGCCGAGCGCGACGAGGGCACCGACGAGGCACCACTCACACCTTCGCTGCCGGCCTGTGCATCGGCGTGACGGCCATGTCCATGAGCACTGGGCGAGGCGTGAGCACCCGTCACGATGACCGAGGGCGTGGAAGGCGCAGCGCCATTGATCTGTGGCGAGGCGGGCGCCCTTTCGAAAGGACCGAGAGGTGGCTGCTCGTTGAAGGTGCCACGCGAGAGGCTCTTCTTGCGGAACCAGTCCATGACTTTCTTGGCGGCATTGCTCGACGGTCCGGTAGTGGAGGTGCTGGCGATGGTGGAGCCGTCGTAGAAGGTCCTGTCCTGCGAATGCTGAGCCGCTTGCTGCGCCTGGTAACGCGAGCTGCCAGTAGGCTGCTTGGACGAGGCTGACGAGGTCGAGTAGCTTCCTGAACCAGCCAGGCTGCCCGACTCCTTCCTCTGCTTTTGCGCAGCTGCGCGCGTGTTGGCGGCGGGCACCGAGTCCTCCTTGGCACGAGTGGAAGCGCGCGAAGCCGAGTTGGACGCAAGGCTCGTCTCGAGCGCACGCGCGCGGTCCGAGGCGGCGGGCGAAGGCTCGTTGGCACGGCCAACGACAAGGCTCATCGCCTTGCGACGGCTGCTCCTTTCCGCCGCGCCATTCGAGCTGGGTGCGCGGTCCAAGGCAGGCCGAGTGACGCTGTTCCTCTTGCTCTTGTCGACGGAGGCATCGGTGGGAGCCAGCTTGTCTTCGGCGCTTCGCACCGCCGTTGCATTGGCATTGGCGTGGCTGGCGCCGTTGGAGCCGAGGAGGCGACCAAAGAAGAACTTGTCGGTGGACATGCCCTTACGATGGCGAGTGGCTGCGGCGGCGCTCTTGTCGGCGGTGATGGGTCGGGTGGCCGAAGGCGGGCGCGTCGACGAGGTTGGCGCTTCTGCCGAGGCAGAGGGGAAACCGACCGACTGCGACGAGGGCAGCGGGTTAGAAGAGATGCGCTGGCCCTGAGCCGAAGCGGCAGGGGCAGGAGCAGCCACGTTGACGCCGTCGGCGGTGGTGGCACGGTAGGATGCGCTGGCCGTGCTGGCAACACGTGCCCTGGTGCTCGACGACGACGTGGGCTGTGCACGGCTTGCGCCGGTGGATGCGGTGCCCTGTTCGGCGATGGCTGCAGGCACCGAGATGCGCGAGGCCGAGCTGGCCGAGACGGAGCGCATCATGTCCGGGGCCACCGGGGCGCGTGCCTCGATCTTGGCCTCGATGATCCTCTCGCTCTCGGGCACGAGCGCGGGCTTGGTCGGAATGACCGCCGCGTTGACGGGGGCGGGAGCGGGCTGGAGCACCGAGGGAGGTGGCACGGCAGCGGCGGCGAGCTTGTCGGCAGCAGCTTTGGCGCGCTCGGCGTCGGAGGCGCGAGAAGCGGTGCTGCTGGCGCTGACCTTGCGATGCGACTGCGAGGTGTGACGCGAGCCAGGAGGAGAGGCGACGGCGGCGGCGGCGGCGGCGGCGGTGGGAGCAGGAGCGGCATCGTTGCGCGATCGCTCGTCGCCGCCATACTCGAGCTGGATGGTGTGACGCTGCACCTTCTGGGCGGCTGGTCGGCGCTGGTCGGCGCGGACGGGCGCAGGAGCCGGAGTGACCGACTTGCGCGTAGCAGGAGCATCCTCGTCGAGACGGGTGCGCGGCTCGCCGCGGGCGTTGCCGAGTGCCGTGACGGGGTCCACGAGAGGTGCTGGAGCGGCCGCAGCAACGTTGGCGTGGGTCGTGGCACGGGGGAGGGGAGCGGCAGCGATGGGCTCCAGAGCGACGGGATGAGCAGCGGCAGCCGACGGGACGGCAGTGACACGCGGAGCGCTTGTGGCGCTGCCGACGGGTTCGTAGAGACGATCGGGCACGGTTGCGCTGACGGGGAGCGTCTGCCGATGGGCGGCGGCGGCGGCGGCGGCGGAGGAGGAGGAGGCGGGAACGGCGGTGTTGGTGGTGTAGGCGGTACCGACGGGGAGGTGGGAGACGTTCTGACGCACCGACTGGCTGCGTTCGAGTTGCTGGCGACGCTGCTGCTCCTGGAGCTGATGCTGGTACATCATCTGCTGGCGATACATCTGGCGCTTCTTGGTCTGCTGCTCCATGGCGGCGCGCTCGAGGTCGTCTACGGAGAACTTGAAGAGCTCGCGGTAGTTGCGGAGCCAGGAGTGCTGCATGACCTGCTCGAGGGTGGCGCGGCGGGTGGGATCGGGGACGAGCATGCGCGAGAGGAGGTCGCGTGGTTGGGCGGTGATGTACTCTGGGAAGGAGAGCGGGGTGGCGAGGATGTACTTGTAGAGGAGGTTGATGTTGTCGCCGTCCGGGTTGGCGGGGTCGTCGTCGAAGGGGAGGTAGCCTGCGAGCATGGCGTAGAGGATGACGCCGCAGGACCAGACGTCGACGGCGGAGCCTGCGTAGAGGCCGTCCTGGACGACGAGCTCGGGAGCGGCGTAGCAGGGAGAGCCGCAGCTGGTGGCCATGAGGTCGTTGCGCTTGTCTTCAAAGTTGTTGGCGAATCCAAAGTCGGTGATGATGACGTTGCGGTTGCGGTCGAGGAGGAGGTTCTCGAGCTTGAGGTCGCGGTGTACGATCTTCTTGTGGTGGAGGTAGGAGACGCCCGAGATGAGCTGCGCAAAGAGGCGGCAGGCGTGGTCCTCCTTGAGATACTTGTGGGCGAGGATGTGGTCGAAGAGCTCGCCGCCGGAGGCGTACTCGAGGACGATGCCGATGTAGCGGTCCGACTCGATGACCTCGTAGAGGCGGACAATGTTGGGATGGCGTACGTCCTTGAGCACCTGGATCTCGCGTTCCACCTTGGACATCTTTGCGGGGTCCCTGCTTTGGTTGTCGTCGAGGTTGAGGGGGGCGTCGGAAGCGACCTTGTCGCGCTTGATGAGTTTGACGGCGACCTCCTCGCCCCACTCCTTGTGGACGCCAAGTTTGACTTTTCCGAACTCGCCCTCGCCGAGGGTCTGGAGGAGGAGGTAGTTTCCAAAGTGGACCTGCTGTCGACGCGGGTGAGCGGCAAAGTAGGAGAGGGCGGCGGGGGAGGTGATGGGGATGCCCGAGTTGAGTGCGTGTGTGGTGGTGGGGTCGATGTGTGCGGGGACGGGTGGGTTGGTTGAGTTGTGGGTGGTGGACATGGTGGGGTGTGCGCTTGCGCGTCGCTCGGTGTAGTTTGGATTCATGCTGGCAAAGACGTTGGAGGCGCCACCGGCGGCTGCGGAAGCGGCGGAGCGAGCGGCGGCGGAGGAGGAGGAGTGCTCGGTGGGTGTGGGCATGGCAGAGACGGGACGATGGGAGTGGGACTGGCCGCCTGTGGCGAGCTTGCTGGGAGGGTGGTGCTGGGGAGCGAGTGCGGCGGCGGCGCCGGTCATGCTAGAGTAGGCGGCGGCGGAGGACTGCTGAGGAGGAGGCGCGTAGGCAGAACGCGACGAGGTGGAAGGAGAGCGCGCGACGGCTGCAGCGGAACCGGATACCTTGCGAGAGGAGGAGGCGGCATCGTCGTGGAGGAACTGCGGAGGCGAAGCGGGGGGCGAGGGGTAGCCTGGCGACCTGGCCGAATTGAGGTCGTGTGAGGCTGTGGCTGGATAGGAGCCAGGCGAGGCGGGGGG